AGATGAATGAAATACAAGTGAAAACTAAATTTCTTACTATGTAACAATATTCCAATATGTTTCCGTGGGAAAACACCAGAACAGTATGCATAAGTATATTATGAACTCTCTCCCTTATAGTTAATGATAAAAACAGCCACCATTTGAGAACATCCTTGGTCCAGGCACTGTGGTAACTTCTAAACATCCTCATCCCATTTTAATGTTCCTGACAACTATGGGTAACTAATAATAACTAATACAATAAACATAGGTATCATTAGCCCCATGGCACAGAAGAAGAAACAGGCTCAGTTGGCTAACTTGAGATTACACACAGATGTCAAAATTTATTCTAACACCTACCCCTTTAACCACTACACCCGTCATGTAAAATAAATATGCATGGATTAGGGGTTACTAGTATTTCATGAAGCATGGATGCAAGGATTCCACACTTCATTTTCCCCAAAGGAAAAGTCCTCCAGACAGACAGCTACACAAGCCCCACATGGAATCTCCTCAGTCTGGTGCAGCCAGAGCTGTCCTGGCTGCAGCTCCTGGGGGCTGCCTGAAGGAGGCCCTGCAAATCCGCTTACGAAGAAGAGCCTAGCGTAAAAACAGTTACATATAATCCCTTCCCTAGATGACTGAGACAGCTCTGCAACAATTTAGGTATTTGATTTGTTGAATTAAATTATTACAAGCCCAGATAATCCTTTCATGAGTCCTTACCAGAAGAACAGAATAATGTAATTTTGCTGGGACAGAGTCACAAGAAAACAAAATTCTTCCAGGTTACTGACACAGTTGGTTCTACATGGCAGAGTGCAAAAGTAAAGATGCCTTGGACAAAAACCTCACGAAAAACAAGATATGATATGGTCAGACTAAATCAGCGAAGGGATATGCCTGCTCTTCCGGCAAGATGCTGGCAGAACACCAACACCTCCGCCCCCAAGATGAAGGTGACAAGGGCTAGCTTTGACGGAGAAACTGGTAACCTAGCTGGGAGGCAAAGAATGTGCACCAGAAGAGTGAAACAAACCCGGAACAGTGCTGGGAAAAGTGAGGACCAGATAGAGACAGGAACAGCAAGGAGGAGGTTGGGGGCAAGAAGTAGGGGCACGAAAAAGTTCGTGTGGGTGCAGAAAACCCGAGTAAAGCCCTAGCAGGTTTGGCTCAGTGGACAGAGCTTGGGCCTGCAGACTGAAGGGTCCCAGGTTCAATTCTAGTGAAGGGCACCAACCTAGTTGTAGGCTCAATCCCTGGCCCTAGTCAGGGCATGTGCGGAGGCAACCAATCAATGTGTCTCATATCAATGTTTTTCTCTCTCTCTTGCCCCCTCCCTTCCACTTTCTAAAAACATCAATGGAAAAATATCCTTGGGTGAGGATTAACAAACAAATAAAAAAGAAGCCTGAGTAAATTTGTTTTAACTTGATGAGAAGACGAATCTATAGAAATAATAATAATTCAAACAGAGCAGGTAAGAGAGCAAGGTAAGAGAAGGCCCCTAAATGCCACATCAAAACATTCAGTTTAAATGCATGAACTGTGTAAACACATAAGACTCCTAGCAAGTATTGCTGGTGAATGGGATGGAGTTTACCGTTTTTCAGTCCTAAATCATTTGCTTTCTCTTGGACATAGTCCTCCTGGTTGTCAACAACTGAACCCTCTGTCAGGAGCAGAGATTCAAAGAGCTCTGTCTAGCACTGTTCTCAACCTTTCTGTCCCAGGGTTAAAAATATGTAATAAATCACAAACAACTTGGTGCTTAATGCCAGAGCTGAATTCTTACATAGGGGTAAGTGCTTAAAAATAATATTTAATATCCTGACAAGTTTACTTGCAAGAATTAGTTTTATATTTTAAAATATTAAGCAAAGTAAAGATGCCTTGGACAAAAGCCTCATGAAAAACAAGATATGATATACTCAGACTAATTTTTCCTTATGAAACTAAAAAGGTGAGTGAGTCCTCTTATAAAACTCCTTTAAAAAAAACCTGCACCCCTGCCCTGGCTGGTGTGGTGGTTGAGTGTTGTCCCATGCACCAAAAGGTCACTGGTTCAATTCCTGGTCAGGACACATGCCCAGGTTTTAGGCTCCATCCCTGGTAGGGGGCATGCAGGAGGCAGCCGACTGATGTTCCTATCTCACATTGATGTTTCTTTTTCTCTCCCTTTCCCTTCTTCTCTTTATAAAAAAATCAGTAAAAATATTTTTTTAAAAAAAATTGCATCCCTACCTAAGCTCAAATAATGGGATCATTTACAAAAAATCTAGTAAAGTTAGAGATCAAATATCCCTGAACAGAGTTATCTAAAGTTACTCTGCGATCAGGTCAGCCAGGCAAGGCCCCAAACCAGTACCAGGTATTTCAGGAGGCAGTGTGCACACTTGCGGTTTTGTGGTCTTCAACCGTCTTGCCAGCCTGGAGGACTCTGGCTGGCCAGGGACAGCTGGAGACAGTGTGCAGCCTGGCTCAGCAGAATCCAGCGTAGGAGAGTCTGCACCTCCAGAGCTGCGTTCCCTGCTGAAATCTCACTGCTGTGGCTCTTCCAACCCTTCCAGGGACCTGACCAAAGACCCTGAACAGGCATATTTTCCAACTGATGAACAACATTCTCCAGCTGGAGGAAAAGGCAAAAAGGAAAAACTTTCTACTCATCTATTTTAATATCAAATGAAAGCAATTTGATGATATCATGTATGGTGTTATGGTCACTTGTGTCCTTCTGGCCTTAATGTTTATGGATCTCATACATATTTTTCTCAAAGCTCCCCTTTGAAGCACCCAACCTGCACCTGGCTTACTTAGCTCACTGTAGGCATGTTAACTGTTCTCCCACTTGAACAAAATAATAGTGGGGTGTTAGAGGAAGCTTAAGCTCCCAGGGAGGGATCATCTCTCACTGGAGCTGGAAATCCACTGCCCATATCCAGGGGAGGGGGAAGGGCTGGCCCTAGGCAGCCATTGGCTAAAAAACAGAAACAAACCGCTTCCTTAGAGCTGGCTAAACACAGTGACAGCTGGACTGTGGAGGGTCACAGAGGGAGAGAAGTCCTTATGGTTGGAAAGGAGTGTGACCATCAAGGGAGCAGGAAAGGTTGGAGGAGCACAACCGCTCCACAGAATGCACTCCATCACCCTGCTCCTGGAGTTGCAGGTGCAGTCACCTCCCCGCATAATCCACCTCCCTGCCAGTATCTTGGGCAGAAAGGCAGGAGCTCCAAGGCCCACTTCTCAGTGTGTCTCAGATGTGGAAGCAACCTCAGGACCAACCAGGTCTGGATTCTTCAGGTGTAAATCTTTTCTAGGTCTGGTATCTATCATCACATGGTCGCATTCCTCTGCTCTAGGAGAACATAAAGTTACTGAACACCAACCTAATCCTGGCAGTTCATAAACAGAGGGAAAGCCTGGACAGACACACCAACAGGCACAGACACGTGAATAACAAAGAACCAGCAGCTGCTCTCATGAGGGCAACACAATCCAAGGAGCCACAATCAAGACCTGAGGGCAGGCCCTATGCAGATACTACAGCTCACTCCCCCAGAAACACTGCCCTACAGGATTATTTCAGGTGACAAGCCAGTGTCTACCCAACTTCACAGCCCCAACTGCTTTCTTGCCACAGGGCTAGTCAGAAGTATCTGTTCTGGCTCTCAGACTGCACTTTCGCCTTGGAGGCCTACAGGCTCTGCCTGCTGATGTCACTCAAACTTGTTCACAGCAAAGACCACAAGTGATCTTTCCAACACAGGCCTGTGCAGGATTCCACAATGACTTCCTCTCCACTCCCTACTAGTTGAACTCTTAACTCCTCTGATTGGCATGAAGGGCCTCTTACACCTGACCTCCCACTCATCTCCGCAGCCTCATCTCCTGCTGTCCCCACAACTCCCCAAAGAGATGGGTTCTCCCTCCTTCTACCATTTTGTCCTGACAAGTACTCTTCCTCTGTCAAGGCATCCATTTGGCAGGTGGGTGGCTGAGACCCTCCTCGGCAAAGAATGGCCAAGGCCGAGAGAACCTGAGCCCTCACCACAAATGGCCACTGAATCAATGAGCTAAAGGACAGTCTGCTGAGTGAGAGCAAGCCCTGAGGCCCAGCCCTCTGGACACTCCAAAGTGCCTCAACACCAGGACCAGAGAGGTGACCTAGAAACGCCAATATCCCCTGCTCTTCTCTAACGCTAGTGCGACTGTGTGCTACCCCTCGTTTCTTGAACGTCCTAAATCCTCAATTAGACTCGACACCTGCTCCGGTGACCCAGCAAGGGCCCCAAGTGCCCAGGTCCCCAGCATCTCGAGGGGCATCCAGAGGGGCACGGCCTAGCACTAGAACCTGTAGGCTGTCCATTTCTAACAAAAAGAACTGAGCAGACCCAGTGTCCAGAATAGCTCTTGGTGCTGAAGAATTTTCCTGGAGTAATCTTTACTTAGCAGGTCGAGGAGATCCTGCTCCGCGAGAGGCAGGTAGGCAGGGGCTCCCTCATTCCCTCCCCCGCACCCTCATCACCCCCTACCCGGGGACCCCAAGAGTCTGGCCCGTGGCCCTGGACAGCCACTCACAGCCTTCTCTCCACCTTCCCGGCCCAGGCCGCCCGCAAGCCCAGGAGGCCACTCAGCCCAGGAGCTACGGTCCCGCCCACTGCCCGCAACTCTGAACTCCGGAGACCCCGGACTCGCAGGCCCATCCCAGCGCCGCGGGGGTCAGAGGACGCATTCTTCCCCAGCCCTCCCCCCCGCCCCCCCACCCCCGAAAGGAGAGACAGAACAGGTCCGGCTGCAGACGGGACCGGAAGAGTGCGGGCAGGGCGGGCCATCGGCGAGGGGTCGGGGCCTCGGGAGTCGCCCGGGAGCCACCTTCCGTGCCAGGGGCGCCGTGGGGCGCTGGCGGCGGAAAGAGTAGTTTCCAGCTCCGGCCTCCTCCGGCCTCCGGGCCCCGAACGCAGTCGTCCCAAGGGGAGGGAAGCACGGGAGCAGACAGGAGAGAGGACACTTACGTAAAAGGCTACATAGTTTCACTCCCTGCCCTTCCCGGAGCAGCGGCGACACAACCCGGCCCCTGGGATCCGGCCTCAGGTACCACCACCCCAGCGCGCGGCCCCACGCCACCGCCCACCCTCTTACTCCACCGCTGGGCGGAGCCGCGTCCCGGTCAGCCCAATGAGCGGCCACCCTGATCCAGAGTGACGTGCGCGCAGAGCAATCATTAAGTCCGCCCGGCCGGGGGGAGGTTCAGGCGGCGCACTGCGCTTCCTCCTCAGGCCAGCGAGCCCCGAGCTGCCCACTGCGCGTGCCCAGAACGGGAGAGGGCGGGGTCGCGAGCAACGCTGTCACGGGAAGGGGTCCAAGCTTGGTCTCTGGAAAGCGGGCTGGATTGAGATAGGGGACCCAGGAGCCAAACCGCTTCATGTGTCGCCCTTTACTGCTAGCTTTGGAGGACGGAGGTGCCCAGGCCTATGAAGTACACCACTCCCGTCGCTGGCAGGGCTGGGAGTGATGATCTGTAGGTTCTAGGCTAGGCCCTTCACTTGCATGGATGTAGAGTGATTCAGCCCCCCCCCCCCTTTTTTTTTACTTGAGCCTCAGTTTTCCCCATCCGTTAAATAGAGGGTTAGATATGCGAAGCGCTATTATTCCAGAACTGCAATGGGGTGAGGAGGAGGGAGAGACAGGGGACCTACACGTGACCTCCCCGCGCGGGGCCCCGCCTATCCCTTGTCCAGGGGATGGAAGCATCCCGCGAGGACGGGCGGGGTGGGTGGATCCTAAGAAACACGACCCAGCCATCCTTGGCAGCGGCTAAGGCGGAGCGCGCAGCCCGCGGGTTAGTCCTAGAGACGGTACCAGAGGAGGATGGGGGCCGCAACCCGGGCTTCGCAGGGGGCCACCGTGGAGGCCAGGGCAGTACAGAGACTCAGCGTGTGACTTGAGCGTACCTGGGAGGATGGACGAGGGGACCGGAGGCAGCTAACGCGCCCGGCGCACGTCGCGAGTCCCTAGCTGGCTCCGTCCACAGCACTGCAGCGCGGAGCTGGTCTGGGGCGATGAGGAGGGTGCCATCGGCCCGACCCGGGGCCGCAGTGGGGATTGGCCGTGTTTGGCCGTGCTGAGGGCCTGAGGCCGAGAGGGGCGCAGCGGTCAGGCTGTGCCGGAGCGCACCGCCATGGCAAGGGAGGAGTGCAAGGCGCTGCTGGACGCGCTCAACAAGGCGACCGCATGCTACCACCACCTGGTGCTTACTATCGGAGGCTCGGCGGACTCGCAGAACCTTCGTGAGGAGCTGCAGAAGACGCGCCAGAAGGCGCAGGAGCTGGCGGTGGCCACTGGTGCTCCGCTGACGACCGCGCTGCGAGACAAGGGCATGGGCGCCGAGGAACGCGCCGAGTTCGAGCGCCTCTGGGTAGCCTTCTCCGGCTGCCTGGACCTGCTGGAAGCGGACATGCGGCGCGCGCTGGCGCTGGGCACCGCGTTCCCTCTGCACGCGCCGCGACGGCCGCTGGTGCGCACGGGCGTGGCGGGCGGTGCGGCGGGCGTCGCGGCACGCGCCCTGAGCGTCCGCAACCTGCGGCACGAGGCAGAGCGCAACTTCGACGCAGACGATCTGCGCGAGCTGGAGCGGGAGATCCTTCAGGTGGGCAAGATGATCCACGACCTGGAGATGAAGGTCAACGTGCCCCGCTGGACGGTGCAAGCCCGGCAGGCGGCGGGCGCTGAACTCCTGTTCAGTGCTGGAGCCTCCTCGGCGGGCTTTGTGTCGGTAGAAGAGCGCACAGGGCCCTGCGACCCGAGCAAGGCCCTGGCTGCCACTGTTTTCAGCGCCGTGCTGCTGGCGGCGGTGGCCCTGGCCGTGTGCGTGGCAAAGCTGAGCTGACCGACACCTGATAGCCTGCCGCTCAGCTCCTTCCTGACCGCCACCTCTCCTTCCCCAGGGACGCCCCTCTCCCGGAATGACCCTTACCGCTAGGACTCGGGATGGGAGTGAAATCTGGCATGTTTAAGGGGAGCAATTCTAAAACCCCGTGTGTGTAGGTGTACACGCGTATTTCAAGCACACAGCTACCAGCAGAACGTGGTTTCCTCCTGCTGGCCAGGGAGGAGTTAATTTGTGCAGGTTGCCAGGGCATTACCGCTAATGTTTGCAGGAGCTTTATCCTCTATTAATAGAAAACGGTCCACAGTGACCCCAGATTCCTCTGAGTTAATGGGTTACTGCGTGTGCTGCTGGGGCATGTTTGCACTGAGTCCGAGCTTGGTGCTACCATCCCTACTGGAGACTTCCACTCTTCATGGGGCAGTTTGATGAAGGCGGTGATGAAATGAAGTGTGGAGAGGGGGGCTGTTTTGCTGGAAGGGGGTTGTTTCTTCCTGGACAAGAGGCAAATTGCAACAGGATATAAGCAGGGTTTCTATTATTATTATTATTATTATTATTATTATTATTACCTTAATCCTTTGGGGCCTAAGTTTAGGAGAGGAAAAATAGACGTTCATGCAAAGTGCTTTCTGGATGGCTCACGATTGTGCTTCTTGGCAGAATCACCAAAAGCAGCTAGAAGGGGCTTGGGGTTTTGCCCTCGCTGCAGGGTCTGACTCTGCTTAGGAAACCAGAGAAGGTTGGACCCACTGCCTATTTAAAAGGGCTCTCCCTCGCCTGCCTGGGAGGGGTGCAAGCTTCGGAACTTTCTCCTTCCCTTTGGCTTATTTTTGTTCCAGAACTAGACCAGAGTTTTTGATCCTCCTTTTCAGGGAGGGCTGGGGAATCCTCTTTGGAGCCCTTAATCCTGTCTATCCCTTGGAATTTGCTTGCCTGCCAGTAGGAGAGCTGGTTTTGGAAGGAGCTGCACAGCTCTCTGACCCCAACACTGCCCCCTGAGGGGGTATAGTAGCATCACTGGCGCGCAGAGAATGTAATAGTTTTAACTTGGAATTTAATGTGTTTTAAAAATAACAATCATTTTAAAGAAAAATCACATTGTGTACTATCTAAGCTGTTTGTTTTTTTCTAAAGGACATTTGGCCACGAATTTATACGTGCTAATGAGTCAAACATAGTTTTTACTTATATACTTTGGTTACTAAATATATATTTGCATTTATTTTTAAAATTGATCTTGAAGGCAGGAGGTCATAACAAAAACTACTAGAACCACAGTGTAGGCAACAGGAGTTAAGCAACCTTTGCTTCTCTTGGTCAATAAATAAGGAAATGTAGAAAACACCCTGAGTCTGAGGCTGGAATTGGCCTGAGCTGGGCTGCCACCTCCTACCTGTGTTACCAAGAGAACATCTGTTGAGAAAAAAAGATGCATTTACTCCATAAAGGTAATAATTTGGCATAAAATTCATAGGCATTGGTTTGGCTCAAAACTGAGAAGGATTTTTTTTCTTTTCCTTTTTTACCTCCAAAGTGAGAAAAGGGACCAAGAGGAGGGAATTGGCAGGTTTTCACAAGGGCAACTTGGGAGGGCCAATGGCAGAGGCAAGTCGCAGCAGGAGTGCTGTTCTGGCGTCCAGTCTGAACCCAGGACAATCCCCCAGCCACTCCCATTCCTCCTCACACGCAGGTTCCAGTAACTTAGAATATGAGATGTTTGCATAGCAGTTTTAAATGACGCAGAGGGTCTTAAGCCGAATTAAAGTTTTATGACAATAACCAATTAAAAGAAACTTCTGCCTCATCCAGTCTGCGTGAGTCTGAATAGCGGCCAACATAAAATTATTTTGCATCTGACAGCCCAGGGTACTTTCAGAGATGACACAGTTTTCTAAATCCTTTCTTCTTCTTCCCATATACAACACAACATGGAATCTCTGTCACTTTCCCCAAAGTCTCATCTCAGGCAAGAGGAGGCTGGGGCATTTTGTGACCCAGTGTTGGAAAATATCCCTGAAAACCAAGCCCTAAGTAGATTTTTCCTTTTCTAAGACTGTGATTCTTTGTTCTTTTTTTAAAGAATAGTTTTATTTTTTAAAAAAGAATCGTTTTATTAATTTTTTGAAAGAGAGGAAAGGAGAGGGAGAAAGAAACAGTACACTCCCTACTATGGATCAAACCAGCAACCTCCTGGTGTGCAGGACAACCCATTTAGCACACTGGCCAGGGTCTGACTATGTTCTTATCAAGATGTTCTGTTCATGAAAAACAAATTGTTCAGCAGAACCTGTTTTTAAAAAAACTTCAGAAGTTGTGTAATCCATAGAGAGCAATTGGCTGTCACTCTTTCCACCCACTTGGCAGATCCTTGGGTCTTCACTTATATGTACAATCAGATGTGTACCTGATTCTGAGAGCCCTCTGCTCACTGGAATTTGTGATAAAGTGTTGCAAAATTAGGCCGAATTACAATAAACATATTTTTGCTGTAGACTTGTTAGCTTAAACAACACTCTTGAGTTTGAAAATGTTAAACATTAGGAATATTTGGCATTATTTGTAGTTATAACATTGCCTAATAGAACTTTTGCTCGATAATTCAAGCAAAATCACTTGCTGCTTGAGCACTAGGCTACTCTTTCTCTCTGCTCTCATTTCTATATATATTTCAAGAAATTGCTTTCTTGTAGAAGCCTGATTTAACTTAGACTTTTGATATGTTAATAATTCTCTAAAAAACACTTGGTGTGATTTTTATACCAGGATACAAGTGATAGAAAAGAAAACAAATTCAACATGTGTAACATAGGGTATAATGAAGCAGTCAATGTTAAGGTCTATGTGAGAGAACATCTAATTTCCCCAATTAAAAGTACAAGCTAAAGGATAGAGTTTTACTTCCAAAGTAAAGTGCTATTATTGTTAAGTAAAATCTCTTGTGAAGTTAAATACTTGTAAAGAAGAAACATCCCTGGCTTATCCTTTGGGAAAACAGCACTGCTTTTTGTGATACTAAAAAGAGAAAAACTTGATATGTCAAGGCATTTATCATGGAAACTTTAAACTATTGCTATTATTTTTTTAAAAGCACCAACTAATAATGTTTGTGGGAGAAAAAATGCCTGCCGGCAAATTCCTTTTTTATGTGCTCTAAAAACTTATACTTTTAAAATGCCAGAAGGGAAAATATCTTTGGTGACTAAAAGTAGAGCATAAACTTTATGATTTACCTAAAGTTTACAGTAAGCTACACATGAGATGCGTGATGTCGAATGACTAAAAAGTACTCTGGTTGAAGAGAGGAAGAGTTCTGGTTTGCACGAGGACCCTGACAATGCTGCATTTTCCTTTTCAATGTGCACAGCGATATGTTTTTAGTTATTTGGTTGCTTTTCAGAATGTAGTTCTCTGTTCTTTATTGAGTGCTTGTTAAGGGTGTGAGCCCCAGAGTGTGAGTCTGCGTGCCAGTCTGAGAAATACAGTGGTTAGGACTGGTCTCTATGTTCTGTGAGGGCACGCCTCCTCTGGCGAGGCCTGACCAGCTGCAATTGGCGGGGACTCCGCCTCCCTTTCCAAGCACCTCAGACAGGTCACTGACCTCCCTGTGCCTCACGTCCCTCATTTATGAAATGGGTGTGTGTGGGGGGGCCTCACTAACTCAAAGGTCCCTTCCAGAGCTTAAAACATTTAATGGAATGCAGTTAAACAAGAAAGGGTTTTTTTTGATTGTTTGGTGTGTTTTGGTGCATATTGAAATAGAAACTTACAGTTTGGTGGTTATTGTCTAAAATTAGTCTGTGGGTAAGATTCCATATGATTTTTAAAAATCAGAATCAACTAAGCTTACTGTGATGTTAGTCCATATCAGAACTAGTGGGTGGACTTAAAAAGCAAATTTGTGTATGCTACTTAAATTAGATTAGGAATTTAAATTCAGACCCTAACTCTAAGTCCAAGAAAGCCCAGTATTTATTAAATAGTTTGTTGTACCCAGCAGTTGGACCACCTAAACTGATTCTGGGAAATTACAGATGCGAAAACCTGTCATTTGTCATGGAGACTGGGAGAATCCTATTCTGTAAGTAACCTGGTGCCCTCAGAACTATAACTACATTGGCTGCCTGATGTCGGGGAATGTGAGCACAGCATGTATGTGGCATTGATAGGAGCAGGGAGGAAATGGTGGGCACTAACAATGTTCATAGATACTATATATCATTTCTGTTGTCTTCATCAAAGAAGGTACACTCTGGCCTGGTAACTGACCCTCTCTGGGAGTTTGGAATGCTGTCCATTCTCTGATTCTGGGAACGGGCTAAGCTGTTTGACATCATAAAAGGATTAACTACCTTGTTATCAGACTTCAGGATTCTGGGATGGGACACACTGACCACATACCCCACAGCCCTTATCCTGCTATACGTAGCTTTTCTTCCCTATTCCTATATAATCAGCCAACTGGCAGAAGATGTTAGTTAGTTTTTTTTTTTTTTAAGTTTTTATTGATTTGAGAGAGAGAGGAAGGGAGAGGGAGAGATAGAAACATCTAAGAGAGAGAGAGCAACATCTGTCTACTGCCTCCTGCACGCCCCTTTCTGGAGATTGAGCCCATAAGCCCTGGGCATGTGTCCTGACAGGGAATTGATCTGGTGACCTTTTGGTTCATGGGTTGATGCTCAACCACTGAGCCACATCAGCCAGGGAGAGTAGTTTTTTTAAAGATGCCACATCTGCTGCTCCTATTGCCGACAATTCGAATAAACACAGGATTCAACCTGGTCTCTACTCATTGACTTAGTGGCGACAGGCAGCAATGGACCTGTTATGTCTGGTATCAGCATCAGATCCAAGGTGGAATAAAAAGCTTTGTGTCTTTTAACTAAAATGTTTATTAATAACTAAAAATTAAAGATAACATGCAGTATTTATAACTTAGTCGGAAAAGGCACCCTCAAATGATTTGGCTGTCAACTATTGTGATTAAAAAAAAAAATTCCTAATCTTCTTCATGCATGTTTAAAGTGAGTGTCCTGATCAACGTATTTACCCTTCACAGATTTCATTATATAAAGAGGTGTTCAGAAATACCTCAGGATTATAAATCTCCAAGTGCTGTTCTACAATATGATTATACTCATCTTTTAATGTAGCCTGGAATCCAGGAAGAAAAGTAGGTCTCCGCATGAAGGATCTTTGGCTGTGGTCAACAAAGATGAAAGTCACATTTAAATATTGTTTCCTTGGCTCTTAGGAACAGACCAAAGGAGCAGGGACTGACCACATGCTGCAGCTCTGTGTCCATGAGGAATAAATGAATTCTTCTCTTTCATTTACTTGTTTTCATCTCATTCCACAGAGGAATCTGAGTGTTTTTATTGTAGTACTATGAGATCCTGGGCATCCTTGTTCTTAGGTGTGTAAGTTTAGAATTGTATAAACTTGAGGCTCATATGACAAATGTAAATAAGCCAAATGAGGGCTCCTGTTGGCAAAATGATTTTGAAGAGTCCTTTTAATATGCTATTGCCACAAGGCAAAGTTGAGTGTCTCCTGCTTGTATGTATGTATGTGTTAGGCATATAGAGAAGATCTACAAGGAAATGCACAGAAATAAAAATATTAAGGTGGTGGGATTATGAATGATGTTTTTTCAGTATTTTTAGTGTTGTTATATTGTTTTTACAATAAAAATTTGAATGCTCTTATCACCTGGAAAATGTTATTAAAATATATATTTTTTACAGTTAGAGTCTTTTACAGTTAGAAACCATTTTAGAACCTTCCTCCCCAAAACAAGGCAAAACACTTCTGGAATCTTACCCCAGAGAATCAGAAGCATTCTTTGAAATATGGTATCAAGACAGAATAGGCCCTGACCGGTTTGGCCCCATGGATAGAGCATCGGCCTGCGGACTCAAGGGTCCCAGGTTCGATTCCGGTCAAGGGCATGTACTTTGGTTGCGGGCACATACCCAGTAGGGAGTGTGCAGGAGGCAGCTGATTGATGTTTCTCTCTCATCGATGTTTCTAACTCTCTATCCCTCTCCCTTCTTCTCTGTAAAAAACCAATAAAATATATTAAAAAAAAAAAGAGACAGAATAGCATTGAGGTTAAGAGCACTGCCTATGGAATAAGATACACCTAAGTTCTGATCCGACCTCCTTAAAGAAGTTCCTTAATCTCTCTGACCTCAATTGCCTTATCTTTACAATGTGAGTATTAATAGGGTAAACATCATAGGAATGTACAGATGACTTTTTCCAGGCTGTCAGAATTCAATGAATGTTGGCTCATTGCTGTTATTTACCATCCCACTTTAGAAGTCCAAAAAATGGGATGATTGCCATATACATATATATTTAACTTTCTAAAAATCTATTTGAAGATTAAAACTAGAGAAACTTGTCAAATGAGAGAAGGTATGTAACAAAGAGGTTAAGGCTACAGAGGGAAATTCAGGTTGATGTAGATGTTGGAATTCATACATTTATAAAGTCAAACTTACTGAGGTATAATTTAAATGCAGCAACACTCACCCTTCTTAGGTGTGCAGTTTTGAGTTTTGACAGATGTATACAATCATGTAACCACCACCCTAGTCAAGATAGAGAATCTTTCCTTCACCCCCAAAAGTTTCCCATGTCCTTTAGTAGTCAATCCTTTCCTCTCACCCCTGGTTCTGGCTACCACTTATCTGATTTCTGTCCCTATAGTTTTGCCTTTGCCAAAATGTCACATAAATGGAATCATATTTTTTTAAAAATATGTTTTTATTGATCTTAGAGAGAAAGGGGAGAGGGAGAGAAAAAACTGTCTTTTCATTATCTCTTGCCCATTTTTCTATACAATTGGAGTTTTTTCTTTTCCATTATTTCTAATTCTTTTTTAAAAATATATTTTTTATTGATTTCAGAGAGGGAGAAGGAGAGAGAGATAGAAACATCAATGATGAGAGAGAATCATTGATTGGTTGCTTCCTGCGCGCCCCACACTGGGGATGGAGCCCACAACCCAGGCATGTGCCCTGACCAGGAATCGAACTGTGACCTCCTGGTTCATAGGTCAGTGCTCAACCACTGAACCATGCTGGCCGGACCATTTTTTCTAATTCTTAATACTTTATGACAGGCATCACAGGTAATTTTTGTTTTGGTTTTTATATCTCAGACTCTCTTCTGGTGTTTTTATCATAATAAATTTATAAATATGGGCAGAAAGTGTGTCAAATTGAAAGCCATGTGAACGAGGCGTTGTAGAAATGGATCCTCTTTCCCAGTGCCCAGTCAAATCACAGCTGACTTGCTGACCATAATCTCATGGGAGATAGAGTCAGAATCACCCAGCTAAGATGCTCTTGAATTCCTGATGCAGAGAAACTGTGAGATAGTAAATGTTATAGTAAATGTTGTTTTAAGCCACCAAGGTTTTTTTTGAAGAATTAACAGCAATAGATAAGTAATATATCTATTAATTAGTTTTCCTGTGAGCAGAGCACATTAGATTTTAATATATTTGTATCTCTTGCTGCTCAGGGTCTATTCTTTGATTCTGTTCTGGCTCTTGGCTACAGTTCAGATAACTGAGGTTATAGGATACTACAGGCCCAGTGCATGAAATTCATGCACTTGTGGGGGTGTCCCTCAACCCAGCCTGCACCCTCTCACAGTCTGGGACCCCTCAGGGGATGTCTGCCTGTTGGGTTAGGGCCTAAGTCGGCACTTAGATATCCCTCTCACAGTCCAGGGCTCTCGCAGTCTGGGACCCCGCACTCCTTACAGCTCATCGGTAGTGGAGGTGGGAGAGACTCTTGCCACCACCACTGCACTCGCCAGCCATGAGCCCAGCTTCTGGCTGAGTGGCGCTCCCCCTGTGGGAGCTCCCCCTGTGTTGAGCATCTGCACCCTTGTGGTCAGTGCGTGTCATAGCGACCGGTCGTTCTGCCATTCAGTTGATTTGCATAATAGCCTTTTATTATATAGGATGATCTCTGGATACATACATAAAGTGGTGCTGCATCATCATAGAAGTGCCTAAGACCCACATGGCAGTGTGCAGTTCTGGAGACTGTTCTGCATTGGTTAAGATCTAACCAAAGTGCATCACTTCGCTATGTACTCCAGAACTTGGCCATATCTCAAGAGTGACCACCTTTGGGAAAACCACCTGACATAGAAACAAACATGTATACCTACAAACCATGGTGTTATTTTACAGTGAAGAGTGTGTCCTTTCTTAACTCTTCTGTGAATGATTTCTCATCTGTGAAATGGCAGTAGCTATTTCCACTTTATAGGATTTTGTGAGGATTATACAAAGTTCCCAGGGCCTCACACACAGTAAATGCTCAGTAAATATTAACGTCATTACTCCTAGGATTGAAGGGCTGTTACTTCAGTCTCCCAAGCTAGAGCCTTAGCTCCTTTCTCTCCCTTGCTCTGCATATTCAGTCAAATACTACATCAAGTCTACATACTCTCTAAGGCAGGGGTCCTCAAACTTTTTAAACAGGGGGCCAGTTCACTGTCCCTCAGACTGTTGGAGGGCCGGACTACAGTTTAAAAAAAAACTAGTTGGCTGCTAAGCAACAGGCAGAGGCGGCAAAAACACCCCGCCAGCCGGATAAATGTTTTTGGCGGGCCGCATGTGGCCTGCGGTCCGTCGTTTGAGGACCCCTGCTCTAAGTCATTCCCTTCTCCCACCTCACCCTCCTTCCACAGCTACTCTCCCAGTTCAGGCCCTCATTATTTCTTGCCTAGCACAGTCCAGTTTGCAGCCATCTAGTAAATGCTATCTTCCCTAAACCAGGGACACTTAAGTGGTTTGCACTTCTCCTCCTCAACCAGAGGGAAAATAGCTTAAATCACCCTACTTAGGGAGACAGACAGAAATCCAAATAGTGCCATTTGCCAACCATACCCAAGGACAGATGAAGTTTAAAGAATAAATCTCATTTTGGCATATCAGCATAAAGCGGACGAATATTCTATTGAGAGCCTTCCCTAAATGCCCAACATTTAAAACCCCTCAAAACAGCTCCATGCTCCCCTCTTTCCTCACAGGCATGCATCTCCTAAATTCTAAAGGACCCCACAAAGCTTGTAACCAGGGCAGCAATGGGCAGTGGCAGTTCATCTGGAACAAACTCCCTGAACCTCTCTTCAAGGCTCCTTTTCTGTGACGTTTTAGTGAGTCAATGCAGTACAGCATAGGCTCATTTCCTCAGCCCTTCCTGCTTTCTTGTCCCCAGCTTTTTTTTTTTTTTTTTTTCAAATCCTCACCTGAGGATAGTTATTCCATTGATTTCCAGAGAGAGTGAGGGGGCTGGAGGGGGACAAGAAACATTGATAGGAGAGAGACCCATCCATTGGTTTCCTCCCCTCTCACCTCCCACCTCCCACCCTCCTCCCCATAGTACGAGCCCTTGACCTGAAATCCAACCCCAGGCTCTTTGGCGGTCGAGCTGACGCTCTAACCACTGAGCCACCAGCCTGGGTCCAGCTTTAATAAATGTCCTCTAAAATTCACCAGGGCTTGTTTGTGAATTTTCCCCACAAACTACTGGCTGGCCCTAGGCCGACCCGCTCAGGGCCAGGTCCCCTTTTGGGTAGCAGCACCAGGCCTGGGTTTGTAGCACACATTCCTGCTTTTGGTCCCGTGTCCCGAGTGAGGGCTGCGCAGCTCTCCTCCGATGCGGCTGTGACAGCCCTTGTCCCGAGAGAGTGGCCTGGTTGGGGACCGGGCTCTGGAGGCGGTGCTTGCTCGCGGCCGCACCACGCCTCTCCCGCAGGAAGGCGCCCGCGAAGGCTCAGCTGCCCGGTTCACAGAGAGCCGGCGGCTGCGGTTCGACCTAAGAGACACCGGCGTCCGTCCTCAGGCCTCCGGTCCGTCCTCAGACCACCCACGGGCGGTCCCAGGGGGTCCCGGAACGCCGGCCGGCGGGAACCCGGAGGCCGGAAACCATGAGCGGCGTCCTGCGCTCCGGATCAAGCAGCTGGCGGCGGGCGGCCACCTTGGTGCTGGCGGCGGGCTGGGCGCACCCAGGCCCCGGAGCCCCGGCGCTGCCGCCGCTGCCCAACGAGGGCTTCCGGCTGCTGCTGCTGCAGCGCTCCTCGCAGCAAGGCTTCATGCCCGGGGCGCACGTCTTCCCGGGCGGCGTGGTGGACGCGGCCGACGGCTCGGACGAATGGCTGCGCCTCTTCGCGCCGCACCACGGGCCGCCGCGCTTCGGCCTGGGCTCCCCGCCGCCCTCGCGCACCACCTTCCCGGTGCTGCCCGCCGCGGGGCCCGACACCGCCGCGGAGGACCGCGCGGGGCTGCCGGACGACGTGGCCTTCCGCATCTGCGCCATCCGCGAGACCTTCGAGGAGGCGGGCGTGCTGCTGCTGCGGCCCCGCGCCTCGCCGCCGCCCGCCGCGCCCGAGCCGGGCCGCGCCCTCCCGCCGCCCGCCGGCCTGGCCGCCTGGCGCGCCCGCGTCCGCCGCGACCCGCGCGACTTCCTGCGCCTGTGCGCGCACCTCGACTGCACCCCCGACATCTGGGCGCTGCACGACTGGAGCGTCTGGCTCACGCCCTTCTCGCGGCGCGGCGGCCGCCGCTTCGACACGACCTTCTTTCTGTGCTGCCTGCGTGACCCGCCGCCCGTCTACCCGGACTTGGAAGAGGTGGTGGGCAGCCAGGTAGGGCGTCCTCGCGGGACCCCGGCCGGAGGCCCAGACCCACCCAGAACCTCGGGATCAGGGCCGTACAGCCAGTAAGTGCCTGAGCGGGCGTGGGGCCCGGGCGGTCCTGCCCCAGCCCCGCCGCCAAGCCAGTCCTCCCCGCGGCTGCACAGCCCCAAGGCCCCCGCTCGCTCCCCACGCGGCCTCCCCAGCGGAGCCGCCTGTTAGGATCCAGGCTTCCTCCAAAGCACTTTACATGCATTAAGGCATTTCGCCTCCACAGCAGTTTAATTCCGTTTCCTTTTTAAAATGCATTGAGACTTGTTTTATAGCCACATACATGGCCTATTTTGGTGGATTGTATCCTTTGCACCTAAAAAGAATATTCTGCTGTTTGAAGGAGTGTTTGTAAAGATTGACAGGTTAGATTTCTCGATAGTGTCTTTTAGGTCTTCCGTATTTACTTGTTCCATCAAATACTGTACTGAGAGAGGAATGCTTAAATCTTCAACGAATGGTTGTCTTTTTTCAGTTCTATAAGGTTTTACTTAATGTATTTTAAGGCCCTTGTAAGGTGCTACATAGACATTTAGGACGTTAAAGCTTGATGGATGGACCCTTTGATTATTATGAAATATTATTCCTTATTCCTGGTAATATTCCTTGTTCTGAAATCTGAAATTTACTGTGTCTAATACTAATGTAGCCACTCTACCTTTGATTAGCAATCGCATTTTTGCATAGTATATCTTTTTCCATCCTCTACTTTTAACCTATCTGCATCTTTATATTTAAAGTATTCTTTCTTTCTTTTTTTAATCCTCACCCAAGGACATTTTAATTGCTTTTTAGAGAGAGGAAGGCAGCTAGAGAAACATCCATGTGAGAGAGAAACATCCTGCTCTCCTCCCAACTGGGACTACGTATGCAACCCAAAACGTATTATAAGTGCCCTCACTGGGAATCGAACCTGTGACTGGGATTGAGCCCACATCCTGGCATGTGCCCTACCTGGGAATTGAACCAGTGATCTTTTGGTACATGGGATGACATGCAACTGAATCATACTGGCCAACATGACAATTTTTGTCTTTTAGTTTCTTTTAATTGGAGTATTTAGATCATTTCTCTTTAATGTCATGAACAACAAGGTTAGATTCAATTCTACCATCTTTCTGTTAGTTTTTTTCTGTCCCATCTAGTCCTTGCACGGCCCCCCCCCCTCCCCCCCCCCCCCCCGCCCCGGCTTCTTTGGGATTATTTGAGCATTTTTTAGGACTGTTTTATCTCCATTATTGACTTATCCTATCTAATAAAAGACAAAAAGGGTAATTAACCATACCTCCGCTACGTTTCCCATGGGCTAATCAGGGCGATATGCAAATTAACTGCCAACAAAGATGGCAGCCGGCAGCCACGCAGCTGAAGCGAGCAGGAGGCTTGCTTGCTCCAGTGATGGAGGAAGCCAAGGGTTCCCCGCCTGCCGCGGCCCGGCTCTGAGCTCGAAAGCAACAATGTTTCAATTATAGAAGCTAAACAAACCCCAGATACCTGCTTTCAGCGGCCTCAGAGCTGGGAGTGCCAGTGATGGCAACAATGTTTCAATTATAGAAGGTAAATAAATCTCAGAATAAAAAAGAAAAAAAGGAGAGGCTGGGAGCTTCAGACACTGGCCAGCCTGAAAACGGCCCTCAGCCCCTCACCCAGACTGGCCAGGCACCCCAGTGGGGACCCCCACCCTGAAGGGGGTGTGACCAGCTGCAAACAGCCATCAGCCCCTCACCCAGGTTGTCCAGGCACCCCAGCGGGACTCCCACCCTGATCCGGGACACTCTTCAGGGCAAACCAGCTGGCCCCAACCCGTGCACCAGGCCTCTATCCTATATAGTAAAAGGGTAATATGCAAACTGACCCTAACAGCAGAAAGACTGGGAATGACTGGTCACTATGACACACACTGACCACCAGGGGGCAGACACTCAATGCATGAGCTGCCCTCTGGTGGTCAGTGCACTCCCACAGGGGGGAGCTCTGCTCAGCCACAAGCCAGGCTGATGGCTGCCAGTACAGCAGTGGTGGTGGGAGCCTCTCCTGCCTCCTCAGCAGCGCTAAGGATGTCCGACTGCAGCTTAGACCTGCTCCCCACTGGCAAGTGGACATCCCCCGAGGGCTGCCAGGCTGCCAGAGGGTTGTCTGATTGCCATCTTAGGCCCAATACCCCAGGGAGCAGGCCTAAGCCAGCAGGTGGTCATCCCCCAAGGGGTCCCAGACTGAGAGAGGGCACAGGCCGGGCTGAGGGACCCCCCCACCCCGAGTGCACAAATTTTTGTGCACCGGGCCTCTAGTTAACTATATCTCTTTGTGGTTGCTCTAGGGCAGTGGTCGGCAAACTCATTAGTCAACAGAGCCAGATATCAGCAGTACAACGATTGAAATTTCTTTTGAGAGCCAGATTTTTTAAACTTAAACTATATAGGTAGGTACATTGTTATTAACTTAATTAGGGTACTCCTAAGGCTTAGGAAGAGCCACACTCAAGGGGCCAAAGAGCCGCATGTGGCTCGCAAGTCGCAGTTTGCCGACCACTGCTTTAGGGTTTGCAATAGCATAAACTCTATATGGGAAGAGATCAACCAATGAACTTGTATGCACATGTGTATAACCGGATGACACAGACAGTGGGGTAGTGAGGGTTTGGGGTGGGGGGGAGGACAGGAGCAGACAGGAATGGGGGAAAAAGGAGGACCTCTGTAACACTTTCAACAAGAAAGGTTAAAAACCAACTCTATAATACACTGATTATTTTTGCTTTAAACTGTAAAAATGAGGAAAAGTATTCTATTTTTATCTGCATATATACCATTCTTAGCACCCTTTATTCCTTTGTGTAGAATTTTTTTTAGGAGACAAGCAATGAAGTTTTAAATTTTCCAATTACAGTTTATAGTCAGTATTATCCTTTGTGTAGAGTTGGATATCCATTTGGTGTCCTTCTGCCTAAAGAACTTCCTCTAATATGTCTTGTATTTCAGATCTTCTGACAATCCTCTAAATTTTATCTGAAACATACTTTATTTTTTATTTATTTACATATTTTTAAAAATATATTTTATTGATTTTTTACAGAGAGGAAGGGAGAGAGATAGTCAGAAACATTGATGAGAGAGAAACATCAATCAGCTGCCTCCTGCACACCTCCTACTGGGGATGTGCCCACAACCAAAGTACATGTCCTTGACCAGCATCGAACCTGGGACCTTTCAGTCCGCAGGCCAACGCTCTATCCACTGAGCCAAACTGGTTACGGCTGCCTTTGTTTTTTTTGAAAGCTATTTTGGCTATGTGAAGAATTCTAGGTTAACAGGTTTTGTTTTGTTTTCTGTCAGTGCTTAAAGATGTTGCATTGTATTTTCTGGTTAGCATAATTTTCTGATGAGAAGTCTGTTTTTAACTCTTATCTCTGTTCCTCTTTACATAGTTGTGTGTGTGTGTGTGTGTGTGTGTGTGTGTGTGTCTACTTTAAATATTTTCTCTTAATCATTGGTGTTCATCAATTTGATTATGATGTACATGGGTTTCTTGTTCTGTTATTTATATTTCTTCAAATATTTTTTACCTTCTGCTATTTTCTGGAACTCTAGTTACATGTATGTTGGACTACTTGATAATGTCTCATAGGTCACTCAGAACTTGTTCATGTTTTTCAACCTTTTTTCCTCTTCTTGCTTTATTTCGAAGAGATTCTATTGCTGTTTTTAAGTTCTCTCTCTCTGTTTTCTTATGTAGTGCCTATTCTGTAAATACCATCCAGTGTGTTTTTCATTTCAGATATTTTTCATCTCCAGAAGTTCTATATAGTTTCTTTAAAATATTTTCTATTTCTCTCTCATGTTCATATTTTCCTTTCCATCTCATTTATACAATGGTTTTAAGGTCCTTTTCTGCTAATTTCATTATCTCTGTAATATTTGGGGTCTAATTCTGTTGACAGATTTTTCCTCTAGTTATGGGTGGGTCTTGCAATTTTTGATTGCATGTTGGATATAGTGATTTTGAGTACTGGATTTTGTCATATTCCTTTAAGGATTGTTCAGGTTTTTTTGGCAGAAAGTTAAGCTCTTGCAAATTAACTTGATTCTTCTGAAGTTTGTTAATTTAAGTGGTCTTAGGGTAGGTCTGTGATAGTCTGATCTAGGGCTAATAGCTGCACTTGTAATGTGTCCCCTTTTGGGGTCTGCTGAATACCCGTATATTCAGTGAGATCTCTCCACAGGGGTTGGAGGGAATTTGAAATACTTCTGGCCCAAGGTGAGCCCTGGAATTGTTAGTCTTAAAGCTCTCAGGTATTGTCCTTTTCTTAGGAATAGTTTTCCAGTGTCATGTGGTTTCACTTTATGCATATGTAGATTACTGCTTAGTGAAGACTCAAGAGCTCCCTGTACTTATTTCTGGAGGTCTGCATTGTAGATCCCTCCTCTCAAGTACACTGCCTTCCAGATTCTCTCCTGCATTTGTCTTCCCAAACTCTGGTCTTTGTCTCTTCAGGTCAGTGAGAATCCTACACTCTGATTAGCCTCTCCCTCCTTGTGCTGTAGTCTGGGGAGTACCTTTAGGAAGGAAGCCTTGGGCACTCTTGGAACTTTACTGAGTTCACCTAATTTGTTTTTCTTTCCTCACTTACAATTCTGCATTCTTCAGTGTTCAAAACCGTGATTTTATAGATTTTGTCCACTAATCTATTTTTTACATTATGTTGGGGGAAGGTAATATAGCACTTGTGGCTGGAAGAGGAGGTTCCAATAAATAATTCTTAACCTGGTCTAGTCTAGTGGTTCTCAATAGGGGATTTGCCCTCCCCACACCCAGGTACATTTGTCAATGTCTGGAAACATTTTGGGTTGTCACAACTCAAGGACTTCTGCTGGCTTCTACTGGGTAGAGCCTAGGTATGCTATTCACCATCCTTTAGTGCACAGGACAGCCTCCCACAACAAAGAATTATCTGGTCTAAAGTGTCAATAGTGCCCTAACCGGTTTGGCTCAGTGGATAGAGCATTGGCCTGCGGACTGAAGGGTCCCAGGTTCGATTCCGAGCAAGGGCATGTACCTTGGATGCGGGCATATCCCCATTAGGGGGTGTGCAGGAGGCAGCTGATAGATGTTTCTCTCTCATCGATGTTTCAAACTCTCTATCCCTCTCCCTTTCTCTCTGTAAAAAGTCAATAAAAAATATTTTTAAAAAATAATAAAGTGTCAATAGTGCTGAGGTTTCAAAACCTAGTGGAAACATAGGTTTTGAGCAGTACTTTACTAGTAGCAAGTAACCAATAAATGGTAAGTTCTTTTAACCTATGGTTTGAACTAACCTGAACAGGTTGAATTAAGTGGGTTGATGCTTATTGGTTAACCCTTCATCTTGATTATTGTCACTGAACTCACATAGAACTGACAAAGCAGAATGCTTTGTAAATAACTTAAAGATTGGGCGGTCCTTTGAGGTCCAAGCTTGGTTTACAAAATGTAGCCAACTTCAGAATAATCTGGGGTGCTTGCTAAACAAAGATTTCTGGGCCCTACAGACTGAAGTTTTTTTTGTGTTTTTTTTTTTTTTTAATATATTCTTTATTGATTTCAGAGAGGAAGGAAGAGGGAGAGAGAGATAGAAACATCAATGATGAGAGAGAATCACTGATTGGCTGCCTCCTGCATGCCCCCCACTGGGGATTGAGCCTGCAACCCGGGCATGCCCTTGACCGGAATCGATCCTGGGACCCTTCAGTCCGCAGGCCGATGCTCTATCCACCAAGCCAAACAGGTAGGGCCAGACTGAAGTTTTAACAAGTTTCTTAGGGGATGTTTAAGCACGTACAAGCTTGTGAACCTTCGGCCTATGGTTATCCAAGGCAGAAATCAATTTCGACTCCCTGGGTTTGGGTGTGGGAATCAGTTTTCCCCAGTGTAAGTGGATATTTTGTAAACCAGTTAAAGACCTTTTGGGTTTATTCCATATTCATTGAATCAGCAGCTCTTTTTATCCAAATGTGTATGGAAGGAAGGCTTGGGAAGGAGGGTAAATCACAGCACTGAGACCACGTAAGTTAAATGGGCAAACTGGCTGGTTGATGACCTGCTATTATTATATTCCTGGGACTGTAGACTGAGTTACACTCTTGACCTTCCTTAAAGCTCCTGCTGCTCCTTACCTTTTACCCCCATTATGACATGTGGTACATATCATGTTCCATTTTGGTTTCTGGAGACCCCACAGGGCCTGAGAGAGCTTTGTCTTGTCACTACCACATCCTCAAGGCCTAGCCAAAGCACCTATTTACGGGAGAAACAAATGGGTAGTAAACTCTCAGTCTGCTGCCATGGCTTTACACTTCACAGTCTTCTATGACCGGACTGCTTTGCCTTCTCAGTATCACCTGCCCTTTATGCTGAATGACTGTCAACCCTTGGTGATCTATCCTGGTTTATTTACTAGTTTTCAGGGTCAGTATTCCAACAATCAACATCTTAAGGGGATCAACACAGCTTTCTTCATCAAACCTTTTCATGTTGTCTCAGAGTAATCTAGCAAGGCACATTAATGAATTAACTTTATATCTCCAACTAGACATTAGGTACTGATCTAACAATCTCAAATCTTGTATTGTTTATGGAGTGAACCTTAGGAAACCATACCTTTGTCTTCCACAGTGGTCATCTCCGTTAGAGGCAACTGAAAGTTTCATATCAAAAGAAATTTGGATGGCACCCCCACAGTTCTATGAAATAAGAAGACTTGAAAACTTTGCCTCTCTCTCTGACTTGCACAAGTTTTGTTTGGATCATGTATTAGAAGGGGTGGAAAGATGGATGCCGATCTTATTATTAACTGCTGATGGGCAGATCTCACTTTTACCAGGTAAAATCAGTGAAGCTTCAATGCTTTTGTTAGTATTCATATTTAATTCACTGGGCTATGTGGTTGTATTGCCCAACAGAGAGGACACGATTTACAGTCTGTTTTGTACACTACAGAAGTATTAATGAAATAAGATCAAAGTCTATAAAATATCCATAGTATTTATTATAATCCGAAGTTCAGAATAAGTTACTTTATATATACACATACACTTTTATGTAACTACTAGAGGCCCTATGCTCGAAATTTGTGCAAGAGTGGGCCTTCCTTTCCCCGGTTGCCAGCACTGGCTTCCCTCTGGCATCCGGGACCTTGGCTTCTCTCCGGCTGCCGGTAGGCACCCGGGACCCGGGGTCCCCTCACAGGCCCGGCTTCATCCGGAAGGTCGTCTGGAAGGACATCTGGTCTAATTAGCATATTATGCTTTTTTTAATTATAGATATTTCCTAGACATTGACAAAGTTCTTTCATATTTCACTTTTTTACATTTTAATTTTGATTTATGAGAACTTGTAAATTGTCATCTTATTTGAATTGGGGAGTTGGTTGGTGGTCAGTTGTTGGGTATGTATAAAATGGAGGGTTTCTGACAGTTTAGCATGGAGCTTTGTGACCTGCCTTATTTATGGCTACCTGTCTCAGTTCTCACAATAGTGATAATATTTGTTACTCATCCTATAGTGGGAGAATTTAGCAATGTTGATGTATAAATGATAATTTCTCTAATCTTAAAATTATTAGAGCATTCACATCGAGACACAAAAATATATATGGACAAGGCCAATATTAATATTGACTAAGGAATTGAGATACACTGATAAAATTAGGGTTATTTAACAACTATCTTAGTTCTAAGCACATGAAATAGATTAAAAAACTGAGTTATATGTCACTAATATATTGGAATGTTTATAAAATAACACTGAATTAAAATATTTTTCAGGAGATGAGCTGTACTTAGAAGACTCAAACTTCTTAGAAAACCTTTTGTCCACTGAAAAAAAGACTGAAGAAATCATGAAGGAAGGCAAGAAATTTCACCGAGTAGTGATCTACAGTCGCCATGTTTATAGTATCCATGTGACTGTTCAGTCAAAGTATAAACATGTTTATCCTAAGACCTATGTAATAAATAAGAGCCATTTGTAGTGCATTGTTTAAAGCTGGCCTACTTGAAGTTGTCCTAATAAATAATGGGCGATAAATAGACTTGCTTGGAACTTGAAGGAACTTTGTGCCTATAAAAGTTTTAGTACAGTGTTTTATATTTCAAGTGTATTATGGAGCTTTCTTGCTTATTTTGTCTAAACCTTACAGTGTCACGCAAGTATAAAGTATTAGTGATCTTTTTACTAAAATGAGAAAAAAAATTTCACAAGGGTTTCCACTTCTGTATTGTTTTATTATCAAAAGTTTAAATAAAATGTTCTACTGCCATTGTTTTTTAAATGTCCAGTGTATTAGCACTTTCTTTGATGTGCTTAGGAGATTGATCCATGAATTCCTTAGACAGTCTGCTAGAATTTAAGGGTGTCTGATACATGATGAACAATAGACTTAGAAAACCTTTTAGTGAAAATGTTGTTATTATTATTATTATTTTTAATATATTTTATTGATCTTTCACAGAGAGGAAGGGAGAGGGATAGAGAGTTAGAAACATTGATGAGAGAGAAACATCAAACATCCCCTACTGGGGATGTGCCCGCAACCAAGGTACATGCCCTTGACCGGAATTGAACCCGGGACCCTTCAGTCCACAGACCGACGCTCCATCCACTGAGCCAAACCGGTTAGGGCTATTATTATTATTATTTTTAAAAAATATATTTTTATTGATTTCAGAGAGGAAGGGAGAGGAAGAGAGAGAGAAACACCAATGATGAGAGAGAATCATTGATTGGCTGCCTCCTGCCCACCGCACACTGGGGATCAAGTCCTTGAATGGAATCGAACCCAGGACACTTCAGTCTGTAGGCCGACGCTCTATCCACTGAGCCAAACCAGCTAGGGCATCGTTATTTTTTTGTTATGTCTTTAGCTTGATGATAAAGATACAATTCTGTTGAACACCAAATGGCATTAAATTATTTATTAGGTTTACCAAATTGGAAATCTGTCTTAGTTAATATTTTAGAGAAATATGATGCCATGTCAAAAGCTGTAACTATTTTTATTCTGGAGTTCTAGTTAATGAAACAGAGGTTAGTGAGATGTAGAATTAGTCATCATTTAATGGTGTTTATTGATGACCAGAGGCCCGGTGCACAAAATTCGTGCATGGGGGCAGAGGAGGGGTGTCCTTCAGCCTGGCCTGCACCCTCTCCAATCCAGGACCCCTCCGGAGATGTCTGGCTGCCGGTTTCCCTCTCGCAATCCGGGACCGCTGGCTCCCAACCGCTCGCCTGCCTGATCGCCCCTAACCCCTCTGCCTACCTGCCTAATCACCCCTAACTGCCCTCCCCTGCTGGCCTGATCGCCCCTAACTGCCTCTGCCTCGGCCCCTGCCACTGTGGCTTTGTCTGGAAGGAAGGCAGGATGACTGGAAGATGTCCGGTTGACCCAGTCTAATTAGCATATTACCCTTTTATTAGTATAGAGATGTTTCTTTTCAGTACTTTTAATATGGGTAATTTTTTCTCTTCCTAAGGGGAATAATATTTATTGATTAAAGATGGGGAAGACCTAGCCGGTTTGGCTCAGTGGATAGAGCGTCAGCCTGTGGACTAAAGGGCCCCGGGTTCTATTCCAGTCAATTCTCGTCAAGAGCATGTACCTTGGTTGCAGGCTTCTCCCCAGCTCTGGGTCCTGGTCAGGGTGTTTGCAGGAGGCAACCAATTGATGTGTTTCTTTCACATCTATATTTTTCTCTGTCTTTCCCTCTCTCTTCCACTCTCTCTAAAAAGCATTGGAAAAATATCCTTGAGTGAGGATTCAAAAAAAAAAATATATATATATATGAAATGGCTCAGACACCAATTGCATTTGAGATTGTTGACTGTGTTAATGCATCATAAAACGGATTTAATTTTTTATGAAGTATCTTAATTTTCCTTCTTATAAAATAGAGGTATTGGTGAGTTAAGCTTATGCATACTATTTAATCCTGATTAGAAGAATATATCTAGATCTCAGCCGAGGACACGGCCTTTCAGGAGATGTTTGGCAGTGTCTGAAAACATTTTTAGTTGTCACAACTAAGAGTGACATGCTACTCCTATTACTGGTCTACCTCAGGTTGGCCTGTACTGTGTGGGTCGTGTAGGAAAGATTTCGCAACGCAAGTCCAAATGAGTCTGAGGATATGTCTATTAATGCTGGGGACAATGAAACAAAGAAAGAAGGTAAAGGTAGAAGAAACAACAGGGGAGAGCCTAGGGGGTGCTCCTGCCTTGGCTCTAGAAATGATATGGGAAAGAAGTGAGCGAAGGCAGGGATACTGTTAGCTCACCGGTCGCAGTGATAGAAATGAGCCTAAATAGGACTGCTTTAGCTCACTGGGAAGTCAGAGAAAAAGGGGGCCTTGGAGACAGGATCAGGGGGTGAGCCTGGGTCGAGCTGCCTACAGCTCCCCTGGCTGCAAGTCTTGTGGGGACCCCTAGAATTTAGAAAGAAATACAAAGTTCATGCCTGGGAAGGGGCATGGGCGTGCTCTAGAGCAGTGGGCGCCAACCTTTCGGACCTCACGGACCGCCAGTGGTCCGCAGACCACTGGTTAGCAACCGCTACTCTAGAGTGAGCCCGCGTTGAGTCTTTGTCTTGAGGGTTTTTTATCCTTTTTTTTCCTTCTGCAGGCAAGAATCTTAGGGGAGGGTTTCAGCAGCTTTCCAGGTGCATTTTTAATATGCATCAACATGAGTGTATAGGGGAGTTTTGGATTATTCTTTGGTCTCTTTTACTTTTATCTTAGGTCTGTCTGGCTTTAATTGGTTTTTTTGTTATTAGTCCCCAACTTCATCTGTCCTTGGGTTTAGCTGGTATAAATGGCATTAATTGGGTCTTCGTTCTCTGTTTTCCCAGGCCAGGTTGATTTAAACTATGTTGGGAGGAGGGTATAAACCATTTGCTCTTGAGTGTCCTTGTTCAGGGAAGATAAGGTCTTGCAATTCATAAGCTGGCTGTAAACTGCCCAGACGGGCCTTGTTTAATTTTCTTGTCTCAGTTTCCCCATTCTGCTTGCCCAGGGGTTTTCCTAGCTTCTTACTATCCCACTGCGCTCGCATCTCGTGGGGAGAGGACAAGGATGCAGTCACATATCCCACAATATGTAAGACAGCTGCTTACAGCAAAGAATTATCTGGCCAAGGTTGAGAAACTGATCTAGAAGAAAATCTGTTTTCTTCAATGAATGATCCAATATGTAAATTTTGAGGAACATGGCCACGGTTAGCGTTCCATCTGGCTTCTGAATCTATAAAAGTTTGTATTGACTTTTGGCTTTAGGCATAATATTCTTTTATTCTCATAGAAAATGGGATATTATATAGCTGGAAGAGACCTCAATGAATACTACAGTTTTGTTGATGACAAAACAGAAACGGATTCACATAGCTAGTGCCACAGCCAACAGTAGGACCTGGTTCATTGTCAAGCAAGTGACATCTATTGCCTGTCACCAAAAGCAGATATCTGAACACTTCTGCCCACTGCATCTTGGTAGTATAGTTGCCAAGGGAAGCACAACACAGCCAAGCATGGAAGGGAACAACACAAGAAGAGGCAGAGCAAGATCAGCTCTAATAGAGAGCATTGGTTCCCCCATGGCCGGCAGGTCCCATCCCTGCAGCCAACACAACACAGTTGGCCTGTGTGTATCCCTCTTGTGCTGCAGTAGAAGGACCTCATCACTTCCCCAGACAGGAGACAGACACAGTAGTGGGGTTGGCCAGGTGTCATATGATGTGCACACTTAAGCAGAAGAGCAAAGGACATACATTGATCTGACACAGGGAAAGGTTTCCTCACAAGGTGTCTAGTCTACCACAGGCTATGAGGACTCTCATCTGGTAAAGAAGTATTTCAGTTCGAGGGAAGGTCAAAAGACTGTGTGCAAACCCTAGCCAGTTTGGCTCAGTGGGTAGAGCATTGGTCCTTGGACTGAGGGAAGGGTCCTGGGTTTGATTGCGGTGAGCGGCACGTACCTCAGTTGCAGGCTGATCCCCAGAGGCAGCCAGTTGATGTGTCTCTCTCCTATTGATGTTTCTCTCCCTCTCTCTGTCTCTCCCCCACCCTTCCACTCTGTCTAAAAATCAATAGCCCTAGCCGGTTTGGCTCCATGGATAGAGCGTCAGCCTGCGGACTGTAGGGTCCTGGTTCGATTCCGGTCAAGGGCACATGCCTGGGTTGTGGCCTCAATCCCCAGTGGGGGGTGTGCAGAAGGGCAGCCGATCAATGATTCTCTCTCATCATTGATGTTTCTATCTCTCTCTCCCTTTCCCTTCCTCTCTGAAATCAATAAAAATAACTTTATCTTAAAAAACTAGTAAAATAAAAATCAATAGAAAAAAATATCCTCGGGTGAGGATTAACAATAACAACAAAAAAGACTGAATGCAAGACACTGGCTTGCCCAGCACTCCTAGCCTAACCCTTTGCTGGAGTTAGATGGCTCAGTGGGTGATTTTAGATGTAGTGAGAAAGTAGTAGGACTGGGTTTTCTTCATAAAGATCTATTGTTTTTAATCTTAATAAACCTTGTCTCCTCCCAAGAATTCCTTGTGGGAGACTGTCACATGACTTCCTACCTATGGTGCCATCCTGACTCCCCAGCCCAAAATAATAGGACTGCCCTCATGAAAAAGTTGCTTTAGAGCCCAGCTTGCTAGTGTTTGAAGCAGTTATCACGTGGTCTTCCTTATCTCGTATATTTAAGCTGTCTCAGCCTCAGAGACAGAAACAGAAAGCTGATTCCTCGTTCCTGTTCCTTCTAGTCACCTTCCTGCCCATGCTGGCGTCCCTACTTCATACCATCTTGTCCAGGGCAGAGCCAGGAAAACCTGTTTTCTATGATATAGTGCAATTTTTTGAAACTGCAGTTATAAACTCAGGAATAAATACTAAATCTTCATTGCTTTCCTTTTTTTTTTTTTTTTGCTGATGCTTTTGGATGACCTCCGTAATAATCCCAAACTGTGCAGGCATCAACATTGCAGGCTAACATGTCTTGTCTTCACAGCTCTTTGTTAATAAATATAAAACAAGAGCGTCCTATAAGGTAGCAGATATAATAATGACTCAAATATAAGGGGACTTACTCTCTTCTGAGAGCTGATTTGTGTTGGGGCGGGTGGGGGGCAGCCCTCACGTTTGAGCATATGTTACTTCATAGTTTCTTCTTTCTCCTCAAACCTCTGTATTTTTCAACCTCTCTGCAAATTTGACGGTTTTCCACTCCTCCTTGCTCCCCCTTAGCACTCCTCCTCAGGCCGCTTTAATTTCTTCTTTTCAAA